GATAAAAATAGTACTAAACACTCCTATCTGGTGTTACATTAGCTTGACCGCGCAGTGCCCCAAATTTGCAGTAAGAGGACCGACCAAGCCTCTTCTTCCATCTCCCTGTACCGCATCAATGCATACTTTGACCACTGACTAGAAGCGGAAGACATTAAAACTGATCAGAACAATACCCAAACACACCACTCTATCTGGTGGCACATTAAAGCTTGATAGCAATTACCCAAAATTTGATGGAAGAGGACCGACCAAAAGCATCTTCTTTATCTCCTGTTACAGAAATCACTGCCATATCCATACAAATTGTACAGAATGTCCAGGATAGTTTTCCAGGGACAAATGTTGTCGCCTGTTGAACGAGGTGACCTTGCTCGGGTCCCAGGTGTACGGTTCCTAAAATGGCTGCCATATACACGTCCACTGATAAACTGATCAGAACAATACTAAACACACCACAAATAAGGTTTCTCTCCTGTATGGCTCCTCAAATGATGCTTAAGATTAGAAGCGGCTGAAAAGCATTTCTCACACTCGAACAAAAATATATTTTTTTAACATTCTCTCCACTTTGAACGAAATGACGTTTGGGAAGAGATTAACATAATTAAACACAGGCAGTAAAAATACAGTTTTTAACCATACCCTGTAACTTTAAAACTACACATCCCATCTTCATAATTACATATTTGGAATCAGCACACTTAAAACATAAACATAACCAAGAAATCAGCCAAATCCATCCAGGGGTTAAAAAGTTAGCTGTAGGTCCCTTTATGACCGACTGCAAGCACATTTTCCTGCCCAAAACAGTTCCATAGATTTGGACTGTGAGGTCGGTCTATTTCAGGCTGAAAAAACGACTAAGTCCCATCGCCGAATGGGACTTAGTCTCTGCAGCTGAAATAAGGCTGAAAAACTGAAAAAGACTAAGTCCCATCGCCGAATGGGACTTAGTCTCTGCAGCTGAAATAATTTCCCATTTACTGAACCAAGTGGGAAATAGCAAGGCAGGCACAAAGGGTTTGCACCAGGTCTGGGGACACAGGGGACACCGTCTTAAAGGGCAGTGTGCCAAAGGAACTTAAAGGGGCAGTGTCCCAATCTTCCTGATGTCCCAAAAAAGGTGTTTAAAGGGCCAGCACCAGTCACATAAAGAGTCCATAAGCCCCAATATGCCCACCGACAGTCTTAAAGGGCCATACACACCAAATAAAAGTGCATACATTTTCACAATCTCCCAGGGGCCATAGTCATGCGGGAGGAGGCTGGCAAAGAGGCTTCTCCACAACCCAGGGAAACAGGGCAATTTGCCATTTAAAGGGCCCGTTACAAATAGCAGTTTGTAACAAGGTGTCAATCCATATCTGCCAAGTGACCCGATGTAGGGGGAACAGTCCCTATTCTGCTCTGTGTCAGTGTGTATCAGGGATCCTTAGGACAGGTGTCAATCCATATCTGCCAAGTGACCCTATGTAGGGGGACCAGTCTCTATTCTGCTCTGTGTCCGTGTGCATCAGGGGCTCTGAGGACAGGTGTCAATCCATATGTCAGGTGTCAATATGTCATATGTCAGGTGTCAATCCATATTGATTGTGATTTAGGAATGTTAGGTGATTTCTGCCCTTTATGGATTAAAACCAGACTCTGTATCAACTGTGTAATTTTCCATGGGAGTTTTGCCATGGATCCCCCTCCGGCATGCCACAGTCCAGGTGTTAGTCCCCTTGAAACAACTTTTCCATCCCTATTGTGGCCAGAAAGAGTCCCTGTGTGTTTTAAAATTCGCCTCCCCATTGAAGTCAATGGCGTTTCGGGCGGTTCGCCGGTTCGCGAACATTTGCGGAAGTTCGCGTTCGCCGTTCGCGAACCGAAAATTTCGGGTTCGCGACATCACTACTACTGTGTTTTGTGTGTATTGAATATTTTGTAGTGGGTGAGAGAGATACTCACTAGAGTGTACAGCAGCTTTAAAAAAATATTTTATTCTATTTTTACACACCGAAGCGCACTATACACAGTTATTTGCTTTGATTCATCATAAGACACACTCATGCTATTTTCAGGGGACTAAGACTCTGCAGGGATCACTGAAACAGTACTCTCTGCAGAATCTGTCCTCGGTGAACCGGCCTGGCTGATGGCATTTAATGAGCATGATGGATAAGGAAATCATTTTCATTTACATTTACGATTTATCCTGTTAGCAAACTAACTTTTATTCAAACTAAATAAATGTAAAAAACTAAACAAATATACGTAAAACAATATCTCCCAATTACATACTGAAATACAGACTGCATTACAGTTGTAAAATATGGAAAGGACAAACCTTGCTGAATTCATGCTTGCTTCACTTTAACTATGACCTGATTACAATCAGTAACAACATCCTTATGACGCAAATTGGTTAATTACACATTTACAAGTGAGGAAGTAGTTGAAACAAGAATTCCACCCATTTGATAGGGAAAAGCACCTGCCAAAGGCCTGCTGTCACCTAATTCATGTCATCTTGGTAATAAATGTCTGCGGACAAGGTGTTTCATGATAGTTTTAAATCCCATGCATAGAAATTGACAGATATATTTCTAAACAGGGGCTGTTGTTGTTGGATGAGTTAGATGCTTAAAAGGCCATCCCATAGAGTAATGTGCAGTGAGAGAGACCTTATGCATTATGTCACACTTATATATTGTACCAATGGTTGAGCAATGTATTGGAACATAGTGATTTACCATGTAATTTCGAATTCACAGCTTACGAACAAGATGAATGCAAATTGCGGTGAATATGTTCTTATGATTAATGTGACAAAGGGAAGGCAAGCCACGGATCACCTTACGTTTATAGACATTCAACATTTGAATCAGCTTTGGGGATTGATAAACAGCAGAAGTATAATAATTAAAATGGGAAACATGGAGAATCGACATGACAATTATACATTTTAGCCAAAAATAGTAAATGAAGAAAAATATTTCATTTGGAGATTTTTATCAATTCATCTAGTTGTTACTTACAATGTAGAATTCCCTACTATCTCAACAAATTTCCCCAAATTCCCTGATAGTGAGTAATTTTCTCTGTCAGGCCTTTTCCCTTGCCATGGTCTTTTATATCAATTTGCAACTCTCTGTATTTCTCCTTGTACACAAACCAGCTGGTGAGGAGCCCCAATGAACAATACAAGACAAGGTTCAAAGTGACTTCTGAGCCTTTAATGAGCTGTGTAACAGTTTATCTTCAAGAGGAAACAGGTTTGGTCTTACAAGCATTATCCAATCCTAACAAAATCATCTATCTTATCTTAACATCTTAACCTATAGCAAGCTTGCAGGTGTATCTTCATGTTTAGGCCGTGCACAAAGCTAAGTTTCACTATAACTACGCACTTCAAATTAATATACATGCGCACTATGAATTAAAGATATTTACTACTCAGTTCTAAATTACATAATACTAAGCGAGAAAAACAGGAAATAAGGCAGACAGCAAAAACATACAGGATATAACACCTGTTACTTGTTACACAATGTTCTACAACTTTTGTCTAGGGGTATATTCATTAAGCATTGGATATAGATAAAGTATTTTATTTCAAATAGATGACATGTTCACCAATGTTAAACAGACTGAACATCCCGTCATCTGTAGCTTGAGCCTTGGGTCAGTATAGGCAAAGTGTATTATTCCCAACATTCCCAATTTCAGAAATAAGCCTCAGATGTTTTTGGCTCTGTTGCAAAACAGTCAAAGGTACATCGATAGCACTATAACTGGTTATAGTTCCAGGAGTAGCCTGGTGCTCCCCATTGAAATAGTCAACCCATTTTTTAATGGTTTGACTTTACAAGGTGCAGCTTTTGTGACTATTTGCCCTCACTAGTAACTCCAGAAAGCCTACAGTTACTAAGCATGAACTCCCATTAGTTCTCCTGAGCTAAGTCTTGCAGAGCTCATTAGTTGAGCTTAGCTCATCGGCTGAGAATGTCAGCTGATTGCTTTCAGACAATGAGCTAAGCCCTACACATCATGATTTAGCTCAGGAGCTGCATTTTTTTATTTTTTTTATTATTTTTTTACTTATCTTTGGTGCAATAAAAGTTTTTTGCATTTTTCACAGTTACAAAAAAGGTTTCCAAAGTGGAGAATCTGACCCAACAGGAAATGGGTCTTTGCAATATTTTACACTTTTTTTAAACCAATCTGTGGCCATTTTTCACAAAATAAGACACTAGGTCCAAAGATCACTCAGCCAGGACAAATATGTGTTGTCAGGAGCTGTGGGTGGTGTGCACTCATACACCACTGATTAATTAGGAACCACTGCTCGGAGACACCCTCCAACTGCTGTACATATCATCTCCCCTCCCTTCTGATACTGTCTTCTTCAGAAGTCACCCCTCGATTATTGGAAATGTTGGCAAGTTCTTTCTTGCTCTGACTTTCAAGGGTCAGACAGTGTCCATATATGTTGGACACTTGAAATAGCTGTATCTCGACTTTTCCTTTTCTTAGCAGAATCTGAAAGGGCATAAATCTGTTATCCTGCCCACATTTGGTGGGGTTGAGAAAACAAGGTTCACTGACCACTTTAGGGCACATTCACAGAATTATATTACAGAAAAGAACAGAATTCTTCTATAGCGGCCAGTATATTCGATCCACATAGTTCAGTGAATAATGATAATAATAACAGAGCAGTGTTAGATGCCAATTTTTAATCCTACCTTTTACACCTTTTTTTTTACTATTACACAAGTGTCAGTTTAGCATTTGTTTCTGTTATGCTTAAAATTAAATGTAGGCTGTCCAGTACATTATTTGGGTCATAAACAATGGAATGTACTTTTTTTAAGATGTCCAGTACATTGTTTGAAATCACTGACAATGAAATGTACGTTGTCAAGCTGATCTGTACATTGTTTGAAATCACCGACAATGAAATGCACTTTGTCAAGCTGACCTGTACATTGTTTTAAATCACTGACAATGAAATGTACTTCATCAAGCTGACCTGTAAACTGTTTGAAATCACTGACAATGAAATGTACTTTGTCAAGCTGATCTGTACATTGTTTGAAATCACTGACAATGGAATGTATTTTGGCAAGCTGACCTATACACTGTTTGAAATCACCGACAAGGAAATGTACTTCATCAAGCTGACCTGTACGCTGTTTGAAATCACCGACAATGAAATGTATTTTGTCAAGCTGACCTGTACACTGTTTGAAATCACTGACAATGGAATGTACTTTGTCAAGCTGATCTGTAAACTGTTTGAAATCACCGACAATGGAATGTACTTTGTCAAACTGACCTGTACATTGTTTGAAATCACCTACAATGACATGTACTTCATCAAGCTGACCTGTACATTGTTTGAAATCATCAACAATGGAATGTACTTTGTCAAGCTGTCCAGTGCAATATTTGAAATTACTGTTGATAAAAATGTACTTGCAAACAACTTGTGTCTGTGAATCTTTTGAAACACCTTGGAACACATGCTCCCCACCACGCCTCACAAAATACCTTGGCAAGACACAGCTGTCAGACTAAGAACTAAATGCATATGATTACATTAAAAAAAAAAGCAAGCAACACACAATGGCTTCTAATAATTTAGATCAGAAGCTTCTGCTTTGGCATTAGTTGTGGAGACAAAGAGTGGTGCCTGGTGTACCCCAGGTTAGAAGCCAACCTAATCAAACATGGTTTACTACTTTCAAGAAAGAGTGGGGGGGCTGCCATCGAAATTCAACATAACTGTTAAGATAAGATAGATGATTTTGTTAGGATTGGATAATGCTTGTTACAACCACCCGTTTCCTTTTGAACCTAAACTGTTACACAGCTCATTAAACGCTGAGAAGTCACTGTTCATTGGGGGCTCCTCACCAGCTGGTTTGGGGACAAGGAGAAATACAGAGAGTTGCAAATTGATGTAAAAGACCATGGCAAAGGGAAAGGCCTGACAGAGAAAATTCCTCACTATCAGGGACCATAGACTGGGCATCTTCTGGCCAATCTTGGTCAGTAACTCTACATATAGTTATTAATAGTCATATTATGTTTTAACGAGGAAGACAATCAACTATAGCAGTCTGAAAAGCCAATGATCTCTTTGTAATATCATGCGTTGCATGTCTTGCTTTTTCATGTTATGCTACCTTTGCATCTTACAGTTATTTCTACTGAGGGCTAAACTGGCTAATTGTACAGCTGCTCTCACTACATGCAGCATTCATACCATTGAGTGAATAGCAAATGGCATTACAATTTCTATGTAATTTCTGTGTTTGTTCTCTAGTCAGAAGCCTGTTCTAGTTGGCATTGTGACAAACTAATGCCAGTGACAGCTAGTTGAAAGCATTTTGTTACTACTTTGCTGTGATATCAATTTAAACAAGTTTTGACTCCAGTGAATTGGTCTTTACACTTGCGCTTTGTAAAATGTTCTCTTTTAGTTACACACTAACAAAGGCATTAGAAAGACTATATTACAGTAATAGGCCAAGTTAAATATTCACCAGAGTTTTTTTATGTAAAAGCAGGCATTTTATTTAGTAGACTTGGAGATTTGTTTTGGGACAAATCTACAATTCATCCAGATGTGTGTCGATTATGTCAATGATTGAATAGTTTCAATGTTTTATTCAATAGCGTGAATTCCAGAGAAGTTACAGTATCCTTTTATGGTCATATATATATGTCTCACATTTTTCCATCTCTGCCTCTATAGCAATGAAAACATTTGGTATTCTATATTTAAATAGGAATGCTCTTTAAATTCATTTTTTCTTAATTGTTTGCATTCTAAATTCATATGAATATAAAGGAAACATCTGCTTTTTAAACGCTAAATGCACTTGCTATGTTTAATCCACAAGGTAAAATAAGTTTATTAGTTAACTGTCTACAAATTTATTTTGCATAATTGTATATATTATTCACAAATGAAAAAAATTGAAAAAATGTGCCATATGTTTTGTAGTTAGTTAAAATAATTAATTGTATGGGTTAAAGGAAGACTATAGTGTGCAAAGCATGAAGGTGATGACGAGCATTATTTCACAGAGTCAAACTCCATGAAACTGCAGGAAGTGATTTTAGTGGCCGTCTGGTCTTATCACTGCCATGTAAACATTGCATTTTCTCTAAAACAGGGTTAAGGAAACAGGGACACTGCACCCAAACCACTTGAGTGTGATAAGGTGGTCTAGGTGCCTACAGTGTACCTTTAAATATAAATACATTTTAAAAACATATTCAGCTGAAGAAATAAAGAATTGTAATAGAAATTTACCAAAATGGAATTTGAATCTAAACAAAAATATTAATGAGTAATTTGAAATATCGCTATAACTGGACAAGAAACAAGAATCTCTACCCATGGTGGACTTTTAGATTAGATAATTTTAGTTTTTTCCACATATTAGATGCATAGTAACCCTTAGACGAGTGGTTCC